CGCTCGCCGCAGCGGTCTTCACGGCGGGGCTGATGGTGCTCTCCTGGCGGCGCCCGGGCGAGCCGGCGCGGCATTGGCGCCTGCGAATCGCCCACGCGCCGGACGGGTCGACGGTGGACCTCCACCGCGTGGAGTGGCTCGCCCGGCGGGGCCTCGCCAGCGCCTCGGTCGGGCCCACTCGTGGCCTCGGCCTCGCCATGCGCAATACCGCCTACGCCGCCTGGCGGACGGCAGTTTTTAACCACGAGAGCCAATTTTGCGCGCAGTGCGTCTCGGGTTTTGCTCAAGCGAAGGGAAAACTCAGCGGGATTCTCGAGGAGAAGGAGATCGATCGCTTCGGAAAGGTCGCCGAGCAGGTTTGGATGATGAAGAAAAAGTATGAACAGTTTATTATTCGAAAAAGAAAAGAGATTCTCTCGAGCGGGTCGTCGCGCCTGCGGTCCCTTTCCTTGTCGGTTAAAACGATGTTTCCTGATTTGTCTAATCTCGAGTCGGACCTTAATTACATTCTTTTTTGTTCTGCCAAGCACTACAACTGTAACTTTATCGAACTGGTTGATCTTATCGGGCAACCCATGAATCTCGGCACCACATTTGTATTTTGTACAAAGAATTCATGGTTTTATCCATGCTTGTCGATTACCGGGAAGATTCGGGATCCATTTTATGGGTTGGAGGGTCTTTCAGTAAACTATACCGTTTATTGGAGCCTATCACTGGAGCTTCAGCGTGATATGGATCAAATTGAAAATCCTTGTATAAATGCACTCAGTCCCCATATCGCATCGCCACTCATTTCCGTCTGCATTAACGTGTCGCAGTGTCGGCAGGCAGCTCAATCGATGGGTCTTCCGCTTCTCTTTTATACAGGCTTCGGGACGCTGCCGACGGTGAGTACCCAATTGGATCGTAATTTCGTTATCGTTTGCTTCGCACTAAATGAAATATCCTTTTCCGATACATATCCGCTAAAAGTGGACGCCAGTTCGGGCATCAAGACGATATCGAGCCCTTTTCCGTATCGCATTTTCTACGGTGTGAACTTTGTTCAGCGCATCGCCTTGGCATCTTTGCCGGCTTCTATTCTCAAACCTTTGCAGTGCATCTATCCGAAATCATTTTTAGATACTTACAGTACCCTTATGGTGTTTAATGCCCTTTCAACTCATAGTCAAAAGGCGTTCCTACACTTTACGCTCCCAGGCAGCGCGACACGTCTTTTTAGCGATTATGGAATAGAGGTAGATTCGATTGAGTTTGAGCTGGACATGCGACTTACCCGTCCTTTTTCTTCCATCACGCTAAATGAAAACCAAGGAATGAGCACCTTCAGTTCTCCCCTCGAAAAATCTAGTTTAGCGAATAAAAAGGATGAACCTGAACTTTCCTCTTCAGGGAGCCCTCTCGTATTGGAAATGAGTGAGGGCATGGAGTACGATGTCAACTTTATTACCCATGGCGCGCGGTATTACCTCAACCTCGCCACCTCACCTCATTTCACGCAGTTTCCAATCGGCGACGGGAAGGCGGAATACCGAAAATCACTTTCGTTAAGCTTCGTCGGGTCCCTGTCTTCCATCCCCGAGTTCTTTATGCTCCAGGGAGAAGTTTCGAGTGGGTGTATTCCCTGCGCATCTATTCCGAATGCCTACCTATCGAATCTATCGATTTTAGGAACCGCGGCGGCATCACGGGATAGTGATGATGATGACTCCGCTGCCGCTCTGGGGACTCTTTATACGATGAATAACGTTATCCTATCCGGGAGACTTTTCTTGCCGAATGGAAAAAACTACACCTGCTCTTATGAGGTGCCTTTGGGAATAAGTTGGAATGTGTGGAGGGAAATGTCTGTAGAGTTCGTACAGGCGCCGCTAGAGGAGGTCTTGCGCTTTTCGGAGTACCTTTTCGCCGCTTCAGACGAAGCGCAACCCCCACCAGACAATACCTGTCGTGAAAAATATTGGTCCTTTATCAGGAATCTCAACATCCAAGTCTCGATCCAGGTGGTTGTCGATGCTGTGAAGCTTCAAATGCACGGCGTTGGCTCTGCTGAGCGGATCGGGGAATCTACCCAGAACCTCGTCGTTAGTATCAACCGTAGCGGATTTAAGATCAGTGGGACGATGCCATTCGTACGCTTTGGTCCGATCTTGTTGGAGGGTTCTCCCAGCACTGAAAAGGGCGTTTTCTTTGAAGTTTTGTGCGATCGAGCCGTGCAGGGCGTCCACCTTCGGGTTTCCGGGGTTAGCTCTCTCGGGACCACGATGGCACCCATTCCCACTCAGATCGAGGCTAGCAGTGAGCGCGGGGTTTTGCTCTTCGCCACCACCCGTGTATTTGATTTAAGTATTGAGATGAGTAATGAGCAAGGGATGTTTCTTTCCACTTCGCGCGGATTGATCGCACAGGTTAACCTTCATAAAGAAATTATCTTTTCCGAGATCGAAACACAGCTGCGTGCGAAAACGATTGTGGCCGCACTGTGCGCCCATGAGATGCCATTCTGCCTTAAACTGCACAGCTTCATTGCGGAGCCGTTATTTTTATGCAGCTCCTCACAAACCTTGGAGAGACCGCAGCAATGGCTCTCTTTTTCATTAAACGGTATCTTTTTTGGAGGTAGTTTTGATGTCTTTTCGTCATGGATTCTGGAGGACATGTCGCCCTCCTCCTTTCATAGTGCCTGTAAAGGAGTTGTTGTGCAGATCATGGAGCAATGCGAGGAGAGCCTGTGGTCTTGCTATGCTAATGTGGTGGGCTGTATACAGTCGGACGACTCCACAAACGACCCGTCAATGGTTGACATGGGATTGCGTGAGGATCGGAAATTATCCATTTTGGAGCGTCATTTGACCTCTCCACAGGGATGCTTCATGGCTCGTTGGATCGAAATGGAATGTGAACTTTTTGAAAAAGATCTGGAGTGATGACAACATCTAACGAATCAAATGGTTCATCTAGGAGCCTTTCCTCAGGGGAGGCTCAGTAGATCGATCATATGTAAATCAGTAGTACGTGCTATGTACAAGTATATATTTCCAATTCAAACTGCGCATGATATAGAGCGCAGTTGTAAAGTCACACTCGCAATACGTACCCAACAGGAATCCCTAATCGAATACTATTTGCCATGCAATGATTGCATCTACTTATTTGAAATCTATCCCTATCTAATTTATTATTTTTATTACTATTATTGTTATTATTTAGAAACATTTTATGCTCCCATACCCGTGAACCGATCCCGAGATTTTCTCACCACATATAGCGAATTATTTCACCTCTTGGTGTTCCTACAGGGTGTAGTAGATTCCGCGGGCTTCAACCAACGCTGACTTTCCCACACCCTCCGCCATGTCTCAGGGGGATTTTTCCACGGCACTGCTCGTGGATCACATGAACGAGATTGACAAGCGCCGTCGGATGATGACAATCACGCAAAAAGAGGTCGAGACCAAACTGGCCCTCGCAACGAACGACTCCAGGGATCTCCGCAAGACGGCCGACGCGATGACCGCCGAGGAGGAGGACCTCAAACGCGTCTTGGACGCCCTCACAGAGGAGCAGCGAAAGGTGGATCTCCAGCTTGTGGAGGAACGCACTCGGGCCCGGCAATGCGAGGCGGAGGAGCCGCTTTTGCACGCCCATACCACCGAACAACTTGGCATCCTGGATCACGAATTGGACGACTGGCGTGCGAAATCGGAGAAGCTGGAGGAGCTCTGGCAAGCTTTCTCAGCCGATGAAGTCCTCAGTGACCTCCGGGAGACGATTCGGCAGCTCGAGGAAGATCTTCAGGCGAAAAAGCAGGAAAAGGAAAAGATGGAAAAGGAAACGTCGGAGTTCATTGTGGAGATAGCTCGACTGAGAGATCCTTTGTATAATCGAACTTGCTCCGAGACGAATTGCTTGCCGCTCGGTTGCGATCCCGCGAAAGAAATCGTGGAGGAGATGGATATCCCCACCCAACACGCGATCCAGGAGCTCGAGCAACTTATTCAACAGGAAAAGCTAAAGTTTGAGCAGACGGAGTTGCAGCATCATCGCCAACGCGCTATTCTCCAGACGGAGACTGAGGACCTAGAAATGCGCGCGGGGGAGCTGTTGAGCGTCTTGCAGGACGTCAACAACTCACGCGAACATCTGGAGAACTCGCTCCAGTGGCTGTATCGGTGTTTAGAGTACAAAATGTGTCTTAATTGCATGCAGAGCTATGAATTAAAGAACTCCTAACTTGCAGGGAGGTATTCAGGTAAAAAGCATTCTTAAGTTCCATTTGGCAGAAATAATCGATCAGCTTTCTTTCCTATTGCACTACTGTTTTATCAGTATTTTTATTTATTTATTCTTTTCATTCTCCTTTTTTTCATCTGCTCTCTTCCATGATCTTTTGATATGGAAACCTATCTGAACTTAATATTTCAAATACGGAAGGCCTTCAGGGCATATTCACATTGAACCCTCCATAACTTTTATTCATTTTTGTTGGAAACTTATATCTGTTAAGGTCTTACGTTCTTTTCCTCGGATAATTTTTCTTTGACCCTTTTATTCCGTCATTGTAATTCCCTAAGCTGCATTGAACTAATATAAAAGCGTGACCGCTTACCTAATCCACATTTTTTTACAAGCTTGAGTCGTTTCACCACATATTAAAGAACACTCAAACTTTAATACCACCGATTTGATCTAAATATATCGATAGTTAACTCGTATTCTGGAATATTCCTCCACGTGTGCCTTTCTCATTGTTGCTCATACGCCGTCTATGCTCCGCAGTGTGCGCAGTCGTGCCAAGCGCAAGGATGAGCCCCGTGTCCTCATCCTCGGCCTGGACAACGCGGGGAAGACGACCATTTTGAATATGCTCCGGCAGGTGGCGGAGAGCCCTTCGGCGACCGCGCCGGAGGGCCCCACACAGGGCTTCAACACGATGGAGCTCACCCGCGATGGGGTCCACCTGCGGCTCTGCGATCTTGGCGGGCAGCGCTCGATTCGGGAATTTTGGAAGGACTACTACGAGAACACCGATTGTGTGGCGTATGTCGTCGACTCGTCGGATATCCGTCGTTTAGAGGAGTCCTGCCAAACCTTTCAGGAGGTTTTGGAAAGCATCCCAAATGTTCCGGTATTGGTCTTTGCGAACAAGCAGGATCTCGCCACCTCGAAAACCCCAGAAGTAATAGCCTTGGCGCTCAAACTTGAGGAGCATCGGGAACGCAAATGGCAGATTCAAGGCTGCAGCGCCAAAACAGGCGATGGACTCAATGAGGGCTTTCAATGGATTTCTTCCATATGTATAGTGAACCCTTGATAACTAACCAAGAGTTCTGTTAAGAGCCGATAGAGAAACTCAAAGACCTAATGACCTTGACTATGTGACTGTAGTTTGTTAGAATTATATCCCGAAAAACTTCGAGGCCTGTACCAAAGAAGAAATATTTGAATTATCAAATTGAATGTCTTACTGCTGTTCAGTAATGTGAATAAGGGGAGGGGAAGAGGGAGGAGGAAGATACGTATCCGCCGTTTTCTTCTTGTGTTTTTAAACTATTAAATCCTCCTTTTTCAGAAGAAACCAAGAGGATATTCTGAAGTTTCTTGTATTCCGATTTGTCGTATTTCTAATGCCAGCATTTTTCTTCTAAAGGAGGTTATAATTTACATTAAAGTATTGACATTTAATTCAATCTATCCTCTTAATACACACTATGACTATCGTTGCTACTGCTCTAAATTTTATTGTCTTGCCATGAGAAGGTATTTCTTATTATAATTATTATTATAAACTATCAACATTACACCAGAAAGACCGCTATTCCAGCATAAGCAATTCTAACAAATTTATACATGAGTTGTTGTTAAACAGCAACTCGGAGTATTTACTAAGCTATTTATCTCCCTATTCGCATTTCGCTTACCTATACTATGTTTAAGAAATCATTAGACATTATTTTATTCTTTTTTTTTAAATGACTAAAATAACATTTTAGGCTCTTTTTATCCTCCCTTAAGCCATATGTGGCAGGACTGTTCTGGTGTGCATAAAAAAAGATATGCAAGCAATGCCAACCCTTAAAAAAAAAGTTACATTGTCGGGTAACTATCCTCAATAGGCTCCAATGACAATGTTTAACTCCAAAATGTTCTCTTACGAAATTAGTTTGTGAGTCTTGAGTTAATCTATCGCACTGCTCTGTCGTGATTGCTCAAAAACTAGGTTTTATTGAAATTGTAAGATTATTTGCTTCACGGTGATTCTTTACTTGTGTTCAGCGTGGAAGTGCATTCGGTTTGTACTGTCCTCATGTGAACCATAATACCATGCTCAGCTGCGTCTTCCACTCTTGGTTATGAAATCTCACCGCAGTTTGTCCTTTTCTGTGCATCTAGGAGTGGGATTAACCTGCACATTAAAATCAGAAGGAATCGTATGGCAGATGCAGTCATATGCGGTTTTACAGTGGATTATGGCGTCATGAAGAAAAGGGTAAGGTTGAGGGATGAATAGCTTAGTTTTTTTTTCTGATAGTCACATTAGTTGAGCTATACACGTATTGTGCGGATTTATTCTATATCCAACTAAAATGATAATGGTTTTATTCTATTTTTTGATTTAGTCTCTATGAATCGTGAATGATGTAATAAAAAATTGTTAATTTTTTTCCATTAGTACTTATATACTAAACGCCGAGCGAATACGCTATTTCAATTCGGTCGACGTTTTTTTCTCCAAAAGATACTCCCTAACTGAACTAATAGATCCCTAACACATACGCAGGGACTTATATATTTGATATCTATATTTCTGCGTGCGTGTTAACTTTACTCATAGACTTCAAGTTAGTTTACCGTGGTATATAAAATGTCAACTCTTACCGAATGTCTTAATGAGACCTTTAGTGGAAGCTCACCGTCCAAGTTGATTTACATCTCCGTTGGTTCCACCATTGCGGCGAAGCTTATCTATGACACCCTTAAAGAAGGCGACTTGATAAGGCGCGCCTACTATTTCGCATGGCGTAGGGTTCATACCTTGGGGAAACCTTTCATCTTAAAGGCGGTTAAGAAGGCATCCCAGTCGATTACGATGCCCACCGCGGAGGGGCATTACAGGCCGACCACTCTTCCAGAAAAGGGCACCAGCGAGGAGGAGGTACTGGAGATGCTTCGACAATTTCACAACGACCTCGATCGGCCCTACAGGGAGAACGGGTTTAGCGGCGTTGTTTACCACGGTGGGGCGGGGCATACAAAGTTTATAAACGACGCCATGGCCTTTTTTCAGTGGAGTAATCCCCTCCACCCCGAGATCTTCGGCGCGACGCGGAAGATGGAGGCGGAGGTCGTCTCCATGGTGTTGAGTATGTACCATGGGGACCTCCTGCCGGAGGCCGGCGGATCTTTAACCTCGGGTGGGACGGAGAGTATTTTGATGGCGATGAAAGCCTACCGCGATTGGGGGCGCGCGACTCGGGGGATTTCCCACGCCTCCATCGTGGCCCCGATAACCGCGCACCCCGCCTTTGACAAGGCCGCCGCGTACTTCGGGATGGAGCTGCTGAAAGTTCCGGTGGATCCCCACACGATGCGGGTTGTCCCTGAGGAGCTCGAGCGCTATCTGCGCTACGACACCGTCGTCATCGTGGGCTCCGCGCCGACCTTCCCGCACGGCAGCATTGACGACATCGCGGGGCTCTCCACCATCGCCCTGCGCCATCACGTGGGGCTGCACGTGGACGCGTGTTTGGGGGGGTTTATCGTTCCTTTTCTCGGGGACACCGGCCGCAAAGGGCCCGTGGTGGACTTT